CACCCGTATCACCCTTTAGCCCATCTCGTATCACCCTTTAGCCCACCCGTATCACCCTTTAGCCCATCTCGTATCACCCTTTAGCCCACCCGTATCACCCTTTAGCCCATCTCGTATCACCCTTTAGCCCACCTGTCATTGCCCCTTATACTTAGAGCTATCATGTTTTTAGCTGTACACCCTCTCGGAGACAGACTTTTCCATCCAAGGACCAGTCCCTCACATAGCCTGAGCTGAGCTGAAAGGGGCGTACAAACCGTGGTGATCAGTGGCGGGAAGGGCCGGTCATGGGGGATTTTGGCCTTGGGGAAAACTTTCAATTCTGTCGTTGGGAAAAACTGTCAATTCTGTCGTTGGGGAGAACTGTCAATTCTGTCGTTGGGGAGAACTGTCAATTCTGTCGTTGGGGACACTCGGGAAAAAGACCTTTTTAGCGGGAAAGACCACGCTCAGCCAGGCTGCCTTGACTGACCAGGGAAAAATGTGGCAATGAAGAAAACACTATTTCAAAAAAGAAATGGGAAAAAGAAAAGGAACTTTTCCACCAAAATAAAAATTCTAGAGAAAATGTCAATCTTTGAATTGGTTACAGTAGGCCCCTACAGGGTGGCGGGAATTGGAAAAAAGTCGCCAAGACCCGGGAATGCTCCGGAAATTTTAGGAATTCTGTAAATTGCCCCGGGAAAGACCCGGGAAAATGCATAAAAGGTCTCGAACATTTGAATTTGAAAACCAAATCCGATAACGTCCTTGAGTTCATTTTTGCCGGTCGCAATTGTGATGTAATTTATTCTGCTCTTCCCGGTCTGAGAGTAGGCTACGTTTCACGCGAACAGGCGGCGATGGCGGCAAGCGGAAGTGTATCTGTGATACCGAAGCTCGATCGGGAAAATCAAGATCTACTTTCGCTTTCGTTGCCACCCAGAAATTTGCCTGGAGAAGTTTGATAACGCAACATTTGAAAGATGCAGGTTGTGTATTACAAACGCTGTGTCGCCGTGAAAATAAATCACTATTTGTCTTATACTGTCACTTGTGCCGTAGAAAAGACAAGAAAGTTCGGGGCGCATAGATCTACACAGCGTCTTGTCGGGCTCGCAAGATACACGGGGGTGAAGCTAGGCCCACAGAGTAGGCTCAGGGTTGAACTTGAAGGCAACACCGGATGACAAAAACTGAACTTGAAAGCAAATTTTTGTATTTTTAGAATTTTGATTTCTTCTAGATCTAGCGCTCTCTGAAAAGCTGTCGTTGGTGCAGGCCTTGTGTGGAATCGGGATCCGACATGCTCATACCTTATTAGCCGTGTTTTTGAACTAAAGGGTTCGTGTTTCAGTAGATGGGTGATAGTAACTTACATGTGTTGTGTACATCTATAATTTATCTTTTTGTTCCTGATTCGTAGATTTTCAGTGTCACTGCATCTTGCCCTCGCTCCCACAGTTCTTACACCTCTCTCCCTGAATAGGTCAACTTGAGCCACTCCAGTTATTGCTCTACTTTTAGTTGGAGCAATACTTTTGATCTTTCTCGGTTATTATACAAATCTGTTCTCCTAGATTGGTTCTTGACTGTCGATATTCTGGCTCTAGGCCTTTCTCAGGCTCAAAACAAGATTCATTTTTATATAGTTAATGTAGGCAAATATGATGAGAGGAAAATAGAAATTAAGTAAGAGCAGACTGAAATACCTATAAGTGACACAGTACGCCAGTGCCAGTGTATGTGTGTATATATATATATTTATATATATGTATGTATATATGTATATATATATAATATGTAATATACATATATATATATATATATATATATATATATATATATATATATATATATATATATATATATATATATATATATATATATGTATATAAATTAAGCACGCGCTCTCATTGTTATGTAACATGCCCCTGGAAAATGAATGAGCCCCCTGGACAATTGAGAAGCTGGGTTGGCCTGGTTCACATAGCTGGTTACTGCTGTGTACAGTAGGTTACTGGGCAGTGGTTACTGCTGTGTACAGTAGTTTACTGGGCAGTGGTTACTGCTGTGTACAGTTTGTCTGTCTGTGTCAGTCATTGAGAAGTTTGTCTGTCTGTGTCAGTCATTGAGAAGTTTGTCTGTCTGTGTCAGTCATTGAGAAGTTTGTCTGTCTGTGTCAGTCATTGAAAAGTCTGTCTGTGTCAGTCATTGAGAAGTCTGTCTGTGTCAATCATTGAGAAGTTTGTCTGTGTCAGTCATTGAAAAGTCTGTCTGTGTCAGTCATTGAGAAGTTTGTCTGTCTGTGTCAGTCATTGAGAAGTCTGTCTGTCTGTGTCAGTCATTGAAAAGTCTGTCTGTGTCAGTCATTGAAAAGTCTGTCTATGTCAGTCATTGAGAAGTTTGTCTGTCTGTGTCAGTCATTGAGAAGTTTGTCTGTGTCAGTCATTGAGAAGTTTGTCTGTGTCAGTCATTGAGAAGTTTGTCTGTGTCAGTCATTGAGAAGTTTGTCTGTCTGTGTCAGTCATTGAGAAGTTTGTCTGTGTCAGTTATTGAGAAGTCTGCCTGTGTCGGTCAGTCCTCAGATTCAGTGCCTGGACACCGTCCGGGCGTTTCACTTTGGCTCCAAGTTCTTGGTGGAGGTTGACATTGTTCTACACGCCGACACGCGTCTTGTGGATTCACACAACGTGGGGGAAAGTCTACAGGTGAGTCATGTGTCATGTGATCTAGTTCTGTACCCAGGTGAGTCATGTGTCATGTGATCTAGTTCTGGACACAGGTGAGTCATGTGTCATGTGACCTAGTTCTGTACTCAGGTGAGTCATGTGTCATGTGACCTAGTTCTGTACCCAGATGAGTCATGTGTCATGTGACCTAGTTCTGTACACAGGTGAGTCATGTGTCATGTGACCTAGTTCTGTACACAGGTGAGTCATGTGTCATGTGATCTAGTTCTGGACACAGGTGAGTCATGTGTCATGTGATCTAGTTCTGGACACAGGTGAGTCATGTGTTGTGACCTAATTCTGTACACAGGTGAGTCATGTGTTGTGACCTAATTCTGTACACAGGTGAGTCTTGTGTTGTGACCTAGTTCTGTACACAGGAGTCTATGGGTGAGCCAGGTCACGGGGGTGTCTGCCAAGTCTTGCTACTCCCAGGGAACTCTTCAACAATGGGAATTAATGTGAAGTTGAGAATTGTCCCTGGTAGTTCAGAACTTGCAGAGATGTGAGTTGAGATATCTCCCTATTTTAGCTCAGAACTTGCAGAGATGTGAGTTAGATATCTCCCTATCCTAGCTCAGAACTTGCAGAGATGTGGGGTTGGGAGATCCAGCCTCACCTGACTCCCACATGTGTCCAGCGATATTGAATCCCTGGTATTGACGGAACGAGAGGTGTCATGAGTGTACATCAATAGCTTGGACCTAATTGGCCAACTGTGTTATAACGCAGCAAGGTCGTAATGTGACCTTGTAACAACCACTTCCGTTACTACCCATTCTCACAGAGGTCTTGTGTTTGTTTGTGAGCACGTTTCATCATTATTGGTCCAGCTGTATATATATATATATATATATATATATATATATATATATATTATATATATATAGAGAGAGAGGGAGAGAGAGAGAGAGAGAGAGAGAGAGAGAGAGAGAGAGAGAGAGAGAGAGAGAGAGAGAACCAGAACGTAACAAGAGGGTCGTCAGTGCAAAGTACTGTCGAGCAAGCACATAGCCAACACATTTTCAGCTCACAGATTTTTTTTCTGACATCTTTTACATATTGGTGAAATACACATAGCCAAAACCATTCGCACTTTGGGAAATTTGTCCTTAGCAAAGAAGATTTCTGTGCTCCGCTGATTTCACTTTGTGTGTGCAAGACTTTGTGATTGGTTGATTGAGTAGGTGTTTTACAGCACTATTTGTGCAAGACTTTGATTGGTTGATTGAGTAGGTGTTTTACAGCTCTATGTCTACAAGACTGCACTTCCATGTTTCCTCATTTGCCCTGTTCCCAGGTCTTTGAAGCCTGGCTTGATTCTTCCTCCTGATTTGTGTCCCCAGCAAAAGCTGGAAAAGCTGGCCAAGGTGGAACGTGCCTTTGTCCACGTGGACTACGAGTCGGAGCACAACCCGCAGGAAGAACATCTGCAGGATTAGGCGCAGACGTCAAACTAAACTTTGGTTCCTTCTCTACTACTTGGCTGAACAAATGATGGGAGGTTGGAGAGTGTTTCTGATTGAAGTGCCAGACAAAATAGTATTGCTTCTGTTTTGTGATTGGGTGGGCTCAGACTGACTTATGTTTGGGTCATCAACAGAGGGAAGAGAAATTTCATCGAAATTTTACATGGAAGAAATTATTTTCTGTATTGGACAGAACGTTCTGGACGTTTCCCTCAGTGCATGTGTGTGTGTAGCCCAGAAGGCAACAGGAGAAAATGATGTGTATCCAAAGCAACATCCCAAGTTATTTCCCTTTTTAAAAAAGCAGATTTTCTGGATTGACGTCCATGAAAGTCATTAATCCATAATGCTTAAAGATACAGGTTGGTATGGATATTACTACAAGCAAGTATAACGTAAACATAATTGTTAGCTATACCTTATTCCTGATTGTTCTTGAACTTTTAAATCTCAGTTTGATTTACCTTCCTGAATATATGCCGAAGAAAAATGTCCAGTTTTGTTCCCTCTTTCCACAATGCTATGATACATTTCTCTTGCTCTCTATGTCTGTTTGATATTATTTATACCACTATATATA